AGACTGGGGTGGAGTGAGTCCGGGAGTTGGGAGGCTGGGGTGGGTGAGGAGGGTGTCCAGGTGAGGAGGGCCACACAAGAGCAGGGAAGGGGGAAGGAATTCTGAGAGTGAGAACTGGTAGATCCCTGGGGAGTTAGAATGGGGGGATCACCAGAGGGGCCGGGATGGGGGGAAATGGGGAGATACACCACAGGGGCCAGGGTGAGGAGTATCCCCTAGGGGTGAGGCTGGGGGTAACTCCAGAGGCGCCAGGATGGGATTGTCCCCAAGGGATCAGGACGGGGGTCTCTGAGGGACCCAGGGGAGCAGAGCCTCAGAGGCTAAGGGGCACAACGAGAAGCTCCTTGCTCGTGCAGTGGTGGGGGTCTGGTGTCCCCCGAAGCTGGGAGAGTGGCAAGGAGGCCCAGAGGAGGTGACAGGCCTGGGAAGCAAGGGGCGAGGGAGCTTGGAGCGATGGGGGGCAGTGGGGGCTCCCGAGAGTGTGGGAGGGGCCCCGGGGTGGGCGTGGGGTGACACAGTGCAAAATTGTGCCACGTGAAGATGGGGTGACTGGGCGTTAGGGGCACACTCGTGAGGGAGCGTGCAGTGACCTGTGTTTTTGTCGCCACGCTGAGCAGGACAGGACAGGCCCGGGTCCCTGGCTGCGCTGGCGTGAGCCCACGAGAGCGGGGTGTGCTGCGTCCGTGGCATGTGTGGCGGTCTCACCAGCTGGGGCTTGGCCTCCTGGCCTCCTGACCCAGTGAAGGAGGAACGTCGTGGTCCGTGTGCCGCGAGGCACTGCGTCTCGGTGGGATGCGGACGTGTTCCCTGATCTCTGAGGGTGTCTGTCTCAGTCTCCCCTTTTGTGTGGGTGCGGATTTCCACCCTCGAGGCAGCCCCGGGATTCAGTGTTGAATATTGTGACCCTGGTGGAGTTGCCACTTGACTTCAGTTGGGTTAGTCGGCAGACTGCAGATCGCCTTCCTGGTCTTGGGCAACACTGAGACCTTCCGAGTCCTCCTGGGAAGCTGCCTTTCCAGCCTGCACTGAACACCCGCGTTCACTTGTTCGTTCATTCGTTCGTATTCCTTCTCACGCCTTCCCTCCTCCTGCTCAGGTCTCACTGTTCCTTTTATTTATTTATGTTGAGTTGGGGGTCTCCTCTTTCGCCCAGGCTGGAGTGCGGTGGCACAGTCACGGCTCACTGCAGCCTCAACCTCCTGGGCTCAGGCGGGGCTCCCCCCTCAGCCTCCTGAGTAGCTGGGACCACAGGTGCCACCTCGCCCAGCTAAGTTTTAGATTTTTTTTTGGAGAGTCTAGGCCTTGCTGTGTTGCCGAGGCTGGTCTTGATCTCCTGGGCTCAGGCAGTCCTTCCACCTCGGCCGCCCCAAGTGCTGGGCAGGCAGGCCTGAGCTCCCGCGCCCGGCTCACTGTTCCTTCTTCGTCCGGGCCCTCAATCGACGGGTGTTCGGTGAGCACCTGGCTTGTGGGACACTGAGATGCCCGGGCATCCTGAGCCACCTGCTTCGCTGTGTGGCCCCTCGGGCGTGTTCCTTACCTCCTGGGAGTCTGTTTCCTTCTGCTGGGGCTGGAGTGCGTGGTGAGAATTGAGATAGTGCCTGGCCAGCCCAGGAAGCAAAGAGACAGGGCCGGCGCCGGCCTCCCAGTGAGCTCTCTGCAGCACTGGCTCAGGGGACATCGCTGAGCGCCAGGTCGCCTGGAGTCTGACCCGTGTGCCCCTTGGGTCACAGCCCCCTAAGTTGCAGGCAAGTAGTGGTCGGACTTGAGGACCGTGGCTTCCTGATGGATCACGCGGTCCTCCACGCCCTCTGCTGCGTCCCCCGAGGCCATCCACCCGGGCTTTCACACCATCCAGAAGTGGTGCCTGAGGACTCTCGGGGGCAGCAAGTCCTCCCAGAGGGACCTGCAGAGCCGAACTGCCTGGTCCAGTGGCCCCTGGCTGCAGCCTGCGGTTAAGACATGGCTTGGGCCGGGCGTGGTGACTCAGGCCTATGATCCCAGCACTTTGGGAGGCTGAGGCGAGAGGATTGTCTGAGCTGCAGGTTTGAGACAAGCCTGGGCAACTTGGCAAGACCTCATCTCTATGATAAATCAAAAAGTTAGCCGCGTGTGGTGGCATGTGCCTGTGGTTCCAGCTACTTGGAAGGCTGAGGTGGAGGGTCGCCGGAGCCCAGCAGGTCGAGGCTGTGGTGAACTGTGATCGCACCACTGCACTCCAGCCTGGGGGACAGAACCAGAGCCTGTCTCTAGACAAATAAAAGTAAAATGTGCCCGTTCTCTTGGCTTTATGACGGGTACTAGACAGTTTTCAGTCGCTTGCGTCCTGTTTCTCTTGGACGTTGCTTGGTTGACTCTTGTGCATGTTGAGCTGAAGCCTGTTCCATGGAGCTGCTTTTTACTCCAGGGTCTGATTCAAAGGCAAAGTGAAAACAGCCTACTGTCAAAGTTCCCTGTGCAAGTCCCTTGAATCGGGCAGCGTGCAGGGTTGGTTTTGATTCCTGAGCTAAGGATCTCTGGGGTGGACATGTGTCCCGTTCACGGCGGCATGCAGGTGACGAGGGTGTGCTGTTCGCGAGGTATCCTGGCATCCTTGTCACCGTCCAGTCCTGCCACGTCCCCCCCTCGCCTCCCCCTGCGGTGCACGTTTAAGTTGCACATTAAGTGCCCATGAGATGTGGCTTCCGACTTCCACCGTTGCTTCTGGTTCTTGGCTCCAAGGCACCGGAAGAAGCTTAGGCCCCACCTCCAGTATTGATGGGCCCCCTGGCCCAGCCTCTGCTCACCGTCGCCCGGCCCCCTTGCCTCCAGCTGTGGTCTGGAGCTCATGCCCTGGGCAGGGGGCCTCCTGGGTTCCTCCAACTGCTGCTTGTCCTCGAGGTCTCGAAGCCTCCTGACGTTTGCGAGCCAGGATCCAGGCAGTGTCCTCAGCCCCTGGGAGCTGGCTTTCAGTCCTGGTCAGCAGGTTGTCTGGGGTGAGGGGACACGTGTCCTCTCCTGCCACACTGGGAGTCTCTTGAGCGCAGGGATCCTGTCTGCGTCCTGGGGTCACGGCACATGGTTCTGTGGCCACGCGGACTATGCCGCTGGGGTGGAGTCCTATCTCGGTAGCCGCAGACTCCCTGCTAACTTCCACCCTTGGACTTCCTAGAGCAAACCTTGTGGACCTCCAGAAGAAGCTGGAGGAGCTCGAGCTCGACGAGCAGCAGAAGAAGCGCCTAGAAGCCTTCCTCACCCAGAAGGCCAAAGTCGGCGAGCTCAAGGATGATGACTTTGAGAGAATCTCGGAGCTGGGCGCGGGCAACGGCGGGGTGGTCACCAAGGTGCAGCACCGGCCCTCGGGCCTCATCATGGCCAGGAAGGTGAGCGGCAGGGTGGGAGGTGAGCACCCTGGCCCCCTTGCTCTGCGATCTGTCAGGGGCCTGGTTTTGATACTATCTTTCCCCTGGAAATGGCAGATGGAGTCAAGTGGGCCTCTGCTTCTGGCTGGCTCTCGGGTTCCGGGGCCATTGTGCCTGCCTGGGTCTCAGTCCTGAGAAAGAGCCGGCTTCTGGGGGGAACGTCACGGTGCTGGGGCCACACTGAGACACGTGGCTCTGACCTCCGATGCCTGACTTCTGCCTGCGATGATGCTTACAATTCACATTCCCGGAAAGACAGTGGAATTTTCAGGAATATTGGTCTGTTAGGCTTCTCCAGAGAAACAAACCAATAAGGGTGTGTGTGTGTGTGTGTGTGTGTGTGTGTGTGTGTGTGTGTGTACAATATAATGATGTTTTGGTCAACAGTGGACCCCATACACAGCAGTGGTCCCACAAAATCATAATACTGTTTTGCTTTTGTTTTTTATTTTATTTATTTTATTATTTATTTATTTATTTTTTTGCACTCCTGGCCACTGCAGCCTCGACCTGCTGGGCTCTGGCAATCCTTCCGCCTCTGCCTTCCAAGTAGCTGGAACTACAGGAGCGCACTACCACACCCGGCTAATTGCTTTTGTCTTTTAGAGACAGGGTCTTGCTCTGTCGCTCAGGCTGGAGTGCAAGGGTGTGATCATAGCTCACTGCAGCCTCAAGCACCTAAGCTTAAATGATCCTTTCACCTCAGCCTCCTGAATAACCGGAACTATGGATGTGTGCGTCACCATGCCCAGATGACTTTTTAAGTTTTTCAGAGATGGGTTCTTGCTGTGTTGCCCAGACTAGTCTCAGACTCCTGGCCTCAAGCGATCTTCCCGCTTCGGGTTTTCAAAGTGCTAGGATTGCAGGTGCGAGCCGCCCCATCTGGCCTTCGTAGCTTGCTTTGGCCATGCATTTTCTCAGTTTAGATCTGTTTAAATACGCAAATCTGGCTTGGTTCGGTGGCTCAACCTGTAATCCCAGCACTTCGGGAGGCCGAGGCGAGTGGATTGCCTGAGCCTACAGGTTCAAGACCAGCTCGGGCAACTTGGCGAGACCTCATCTCTACAATAAATCAAAAATTAGCTGGATGTGGAGGTATATACCTGTATTCCGTCTGCCTGGAAGGCTGAGGCGGAAGGATCACCGGCACCCATCAGATTGAGGCTGGGGTGGCCATGAGCATGCCACTGCAATCCAGCCTGGGTGACGGAGTGAGACTCCAATCAAAAATAAATAAAATAAATATACAAATCCTTACCATCGTGTTCCAGCTGCCCGTGGTATTCAGCACAGGACCATGCTGTCCAGACTGGGAGGAGTTGTAGGCTATGCTGTATATATAGCCTGTACCGTCAAGCTTGTGTGAACACATGGCTCTGGGTTATTCACACAGTGACAAAATCGCCTGATGACACGTTTCTCAGTATGTGTCCCCTCATTAAGTGATGCGTGACTGTATATGTAGAGAGAGTTATTTTAAGTAGTTGACTCGCACAGTCATGGGGCTGGCGGGTTTGAAGTCTGCAGAGCAGGTTGAAGGCCCAGGGAAGAGTTGGTATTATGGCTCGAGCCCCAAGGCCACCTGGAGGCAGAATTCCCTCCTCTCGGGGGGCCTCCTGCTTTCTCTTAAGCCTTGACAGGTTGTATGAGACTCCCCCACATGAGGGATCACCTGCTTTACTTAGGTCCATCCATGTAAACGGTAATCACAACTTATTTTTTGTTTATTTTGAGTTGGAGTCTTACTCTGTCGCCCAAGCTGGAGTGGAGTGGCACACTCACGGCCACCGCAGCCTCAGCCTGCTCAGGCGATCCTTCCGCCTCAGCCTTCCGACTACAGACGAGCACCACCATGCTAATTTTTTGATTTACTGTAGAGACAAGGTGTCACCAAGTTGCCCAGACTGGTCTCGAACCCCTGGGCTCAGGCAGTCCTCTCGCCTCGGCCTCCCAAAGTGCTGGGATTACAAGCATGAGCCACTGCACTCAGCCAGAGAGTCACAGCCTAAAAGCCACCTCCCAGCGACATCTAGACTGGTGTGTGACAGATGGCTAGGCACGTGTCCTCGTCAAGTGTTGGTGACTGCCCACCTTGGGTATCCCAAGCTCACGTGTCCTGAGTTCCCGTGCCATAGGGCAGCCTCCACTGTGGGTCTGAGAACAGCCCCCCAGAGAGCAGGGTGTTACACAGTGATGCAGCCACCTGGGGACACAACTGGGGGACTCTGTGCCACCAAACTAGTTCGCTCCTCAAGACTTCTCTTTCAGACGTGGGAAGCTGCCTCCTCCTGGAAGCCCATCATCCTGCACGGCCCAACATGGTGTTCTTGGACACCTGCCACTCCCTCTGATGGGAGCCCATAAACGGGGGTTCACCTTCAGCTTTACCATGGCCGGGAAAGTGAGCTCTGGGCATTTCAAGCTATAGGGGCCTGGTGGGCTCTGTGGTCTGGTGAGTGGTGGTGTCCTGATGTTGCTTCCTGGTTTTGATACTATCTTTCAGCTGTGTAATTGTCACCTTCAGGGAAAGCTGGGTAGAGGGTATATGGGACTTGATCCTATTTTTGCAACTTCTTATGCTTCTATAATTCTTTCCGAGTTAGTGTTTATTTTTAAGTGCCCCAAAAATTGGGTGTGAGAGAGAAGACACTGAACGTGAAGCTTGTCTGGCGGGCTGCCACTGGGGCTACGGCTGTGATGCGCCATGCCTCCCAGCTGCCAGTTTACCTGGAAGGCTTGCTTATTAGGTAGGAGGGCAGAGAGGAACATTGAGGTGACAAAGAGGCTTTGAAGAGATGCTGGGGGAATTCCGAAACCCTGGAAGGCGGCATGAATGCCACGCAGAGTTGGTAGGGATCTCTCTGCAGACAGACGGCCTCGTACCTCCAGATTCCGAACTGCTCCAGGTCCAGCAGCCCTCAGTCCCTTGGTTAGCAGGGGTCACGCAACCAGTGCAGCATGCATCAGGAAAGCCACAAGACCAGTTCTGGAAGGTCCGAGAAAGCTCGTCTCTCCATTATCACGGTTCTGCTTGCTTGTGAGTGATTTCTTGGCTCAGCGTGGCCCCTGGCTCTCCCAGCGTCAGTCAAGAGCTGCAGATGCAGTCTCCACGCCACTCGGCCAGGAGGGAGCGTACCTTGCCTGTCCTGCACACAGGGCCTCTTTGAGCTCCCTGTACTCATGGCAGAGAAGCATTTCCTTGGCCTGGGTTCGTGTTCCTCACTCTGCCCCAGCTGCCTTCTAGAATGGCAGTCACGTGGCCAGCCCAAGGCTGCATAATGGCACGAGCTGCCCTCTCGCCAGTAACTACCCCAGAACAGAGCCGATGTTGACACTTTGACCCACCTTTTAAAGTCGAGCAGCAGCTCCATTTTATAGGTGAAACCAGACTGAGTGGGTCAGTCTCTGGATGAGACTTGAACCCTCTCGGCTCTGCCTTACCATGGCAGTAGCCATGACCCACCTCCAGGTGCTGAGCAAGGAGCACACAGAGCCCTCAGGTGCCACAGGGCCCTTCTTGTGACCAGCCGGCAGGACAGGTGGGCAGCTAGTTCAGGATACCGGAGATGCTGTGCAGCCACACGATGCCAGACACACCCAGCCTGTGAGTGCCAGTGACCTGCCCTGTTGATGCTGTCAAGGTCATTCCAGACCCAGCCCAGAGTGGCAGCCTGGTCCTCCCTCCCCTCATGGTCCTGCCATTGCCCTGTGAAGCCCTTTCCCCTCTTTTCCTGGTTTGTCCCCCCAAATCGCTCATTCTGCAGTGGAAACCCTCTCTGATCCTCACCAGGCCTGGCGTCTGCTCTGAATGCCTGACACTTCCTATCCAACCCGCTGTCGGGGCTTCTACGGCCCAGGCAGTGGTGATGTCGCAAGGGCATGGGCCCTGGCTTTCTGTGAGGCCATTGCAGTCCTGACTCACCTTCCGTGTGCCGCTGAGAACGTGATCCGTGGTCTCCTCGCCTGACCTTGCTCCCTCAGCAAGATGGGGCTGGTCACGCCAGTCCCCGGGGTGGTTGTCAAGCGGATCTCGGGGCACTCGGTACTCAGAAGTGTCCCCGCACTTCCCACTGTTCCTCTGGCTTCTCTGTTCCCTGCACACCCTCAGTGCTTCCCGTCAGGCTGCAGAGCTTGCTGGGCAGACCCAGGTATCAGAGAAGCACGAACGCTGAGAGCATGGCCACTGCCCCTGCAAGCTAGAGTCCACACGTCTCCTGTTACCAGGAGGCCTCCCCAGCTTGCCAGAAGGCCCCTCCCTCCCAGCAACCTTGTTACACACGAAGGACTCCCGGCTCCAAGACCTCAGGGTTCTGTCCAGTCCAGGCGAGTCTCGTCCGCCACTTCCTTCCTCTTCTCTCCCTACATCACGGTTGCAAACTGACAGCCTCCTGCGTGCTGCCTCCCTGCTCGTTGGCCTCCGTCTGTGGCTCCCTTGAAGTTCTTGGCCACAGGCTGGTCACACAGCAGCAGCCTGGTCAGAGGTGGCCACGGAGCACTTGGACGCAGGCACTCCCCGTCTAGACGGGCCCTACGTGCGAGACACAGGCCGGGTTCCGAGAGCTTGATGTGGAAACCGTCCCATTTGTATTCTTACAGTGATCAGGCATCAGAACTAATTCCTTGATACATTGAGTTATGCAAACTATATGAAAAATTCATCCGGGCATGGTGGCACATGCTTCCAGTCTCAGCTACCTAGGAGGCTGAGGCAGGAGGATTGTTGGAGCCCAGGAGGTTAAGACCAGTCTGGGCAACATAGCAAGACCCTGTCTCTAAAAATAGAGGCTTGGGCCAGGCTCAGTGGCTCAGCCTGTGATCCCAGCACTTTGGGAGGCCGAGGCAAGTGGATTGCCTGAGCCTGCAGGTTCGAGACCAGCCTGGGCAACTTGGTGAGACCTTGTCTCTACAATAAAAGGAAAAAAAAATATGCCGGGCATGGTGGTATGCACCTATAGTTCTGGATATTTGGAAGACTGAGGCAGAAGGATCGCCGGAGCCCAGCAGGTAGGTGCTGGGTTGGCCATGAGTGTGCCACAGCATTCCAGCCTGGGCAACAGAGTAAGACTCCAACTCAAAAAAAAAAAATAGAGACATGAAAAGTTGATTTTACCTGTTTCGTTTTGCTTTTTTATTTAAATTTGACTGATTATCATTAAATGTGCAGCTTGTATTGGGCTTCTCTCAGACAGCCCTGGGCTTGGCCCGCCTGGCCCCGGCCCTGGTCCTGCTATGCCTTCTGACCTCTAGGGTGCCTCGCCCAGCCTCCACGCAAATGTCAGCACCTCCGTTTCAGGCTCTGGAATGTGTGAATGGCCCCGTTCTCTCAGATGCCGCCTGGCTGGAGGAGCGAGCATCCTGGGGTCGTGGGTGGTCCTGTGTCTCCCAGGGTCCCCGTGGGGAGTGCAGTATCCCAGGGGCCCACGGCCAGAGCTGGCCCCACAAGCTGGAATGAGTGGAGAGTCAGGCAGACAGACTGGAGGGCTCCATTCAGGGGGGCGGGGGGCTTTGCCTGAAGTGGCTGAGTGGTGGGTGGAGCCCACCACAATTGTCAAGGCCACAGTCTGCTCCTGTTGCTCCAAGCTCAGCATGCCTCCTTCATGGCTCTGTGCCCTCTGACAAGAGGCTCTTTGTCACTCGACCTGGAATGCCCCCCCTTCCTGTGACAACTCCTGCCCTTCCTTGGAGGCCAGCCCGATGTCACCTTCTCCCTGCTGTCCCCTGCGTGCCTGGGTCATTCTCCTTACAGTGTCTCTGCAGGCTGACTTTGTTTAGCCATCCTTCCCCTAACTGTGTGTCTCCAAGCGGGGACAATGTAGTCGTCCATTTCCTTCCGTCTCTGCCTGCCTATGGCTTCTGCACGCAGTGTCTGTTGAGGTGACGGCAATCGTCTTCAGATCCCAGGACCTTACTCTGCTTCCTGGCAGTTGAGTGGACGTTGCACCTTTTTCTTGTCTTATTGCAATGGCGGAGTGGGATGCTGCCTCGCTGGTTGCTGACCCGAAGCCTCAGGCCACTCCTTGCTGCAGGGGGCGCGTGGCTCTCCTGGGTGTGTCATCGGGGGTTGCTCGCAGTGTTTTATCAGGTGTCTCTGCATCTCTTAGGAAGATCCTTTGCTTCTCACCTTTTGAGATGCCGCTGGGATACCTTTAATGGTAATTTCCTCTGCCCACGTGGATGCAAGTGGATGGAGAGTTGGAATCATCAAGTGTGATCCAGGCTTTATGGGGCTGGTGGCCTCGGTGTGGTGGCTCCAGCCTAAGTGAGATGGGCTCCAGGTGGGCTTGCCCCTGGCTGGGTAGGGCAAAAATGGCGTTGTGGTCAGGTGTGATGGTTCAAGCCTGCAATTCCAGCACTTTGGGAGGCTGAGGCGATAGGATTGCCTGAGCCCAGGGGTTTGAGACCAGCCTGGGCAACTTGGTGAGGCCTCATCGCTACAATAAATCAAAAAATTAGCCGGGCATGGTGGCGCGTGCCCGTAGTTCCAACTACTTGGAAGACAGAAAGATCGCCTGAGCCCAGCAGGTCAACTCAGGGGTGGCTGTGAGTGTGCCACTGCACTCTGGCCTGGACAACAGAGTGAGACTCTGTCTACAAAAAAAAAATGGAGTCGCTATCCCCTGAAGGGATGTACCATAGGCTACATTCTGGAAAGGCTGGAGCTTTGTCAAAGTTATTTGGGGGGAATTCTTTGCACACAATTCCTGCTGTGACCACATGAAACATCTTGCTCAATTCTGTCTTCAAAAATAGATTTATTGGTCGGGCTCAGTGGCTCAGCCTGTAACCCCAGGACTTTGGGAGGCTGAGGTGAGGTGATTGCTTGAGCCCATGGATTTGACTAGCCTGGGCAACTTGCAGACCTGGTCTCTACAACAAATCAAAAAATTTGCCAGGCATGTTAGTGCATGCCTATAGTTCCGACTGCTTGGAAGACTGAGGCAGAAGGATCGCCTGAGCTCTGCAGGCCGACACTGGGGTGACCGTGAGCATACCACTGCACTCCGGCCTGGACGATGAAATGAGATGTCAACTCCCCCCCCAAAAAATAGATTTATTGAGATGCAGTTCACAAGTGTAGAATTCCGTGGCTGGTAGTATATTCACTGCGTTTTACCACATTCTCATCACCCCAGGAAAACACCTGTCCTCGTTAGTGTTCAATTCCTAGTCCCTGGTACCCACAAGTCCACGTCCCAGCTCTGTGGATTGACCTGTTCTGAATGTTTCGTAGAAATGGAGTCATACATTGCCTGTCCTTCCATTTCTGGGTCTCATGGAGCGTGACGTCCTCAAGGTCCATCCACGCTGTGACCTGCGTGGGAGCTTCCTTCCTCTTTGTGGCTGGGTCGTGTTCCACATGTGGATGGGCCACGCCTTGGGGATCCCTTTGTTAGTGGACACTTGGGCTGTGTCCACTCTTGGACTGCTGCAAACACTCGCCGCTGAGTTTCTGTGTGGACGTGCGTCTCAGCATCTCGGGCAGACGCCTGGGAGTGGACTGGTGACCCAGTCGTCTTGCCATTGTTGTGAGGGCCTTCGGGTCGCAGGGCCAGAGCCAGGCCGCTCCGCCCTGCGTCTCCCACCCTCATCCCTAATGCCTGGTCTCGCCCCCGCCCCACAGCTGATCCACCTAGAGATCAAGCCGGCCATCCGGAACCAGATCATCCGGGAGCTGCAGGTGCTACACGAGTGCAACTCTCCCTATATCGTGGGCTTCTACGGGGCCTTCTACAGCGACGGGGAGATCAGCATCTGCATGGAGCACATGGTGAGTGCGGGCCCAGAGCCTGTCGGACTTGTGGCCGGGGACTCAGGCAGGGCAGGAACGCTGTGGAGCAGAGGGTGTCAGGGCAAGGAAGTCTCCCGCCTGGGTCCTTGGGGCATCCTTCTGGCACGGGCAGTGCCCACGCAAGCATGTGTGTATAAGGACACCTCTGGGGTTTTCTTGTTTGCTTTTGGTTCTTTTGGATTTTTGGAGTTGGAGTCGCACTCTGTCGCCCAGGCTGGAGTGCAGTGGCACCCTCACGGCCACTGCAGCCTAGACCCGCTGGGCTCCGGCAGTTCTTCTGCCTCAGCCTCCCAAGCAGCTGGAACCACAGACATGTACCACCATGACTGGCCAATTTTGTGATGTAGAATAGAGACAAGGTCTTGTCAAGCTGCCCAGGCTGGTGTTTTATTTATTTCTTTATTTAAAGACAAGGTCTCACTATGTTGTCCAGGCTGGTCCCGAAGTCCTAGGCTCAAGCGATTCTCCTGCCTTGGCCTCCTTATGCCTTTGTCTTTCTTTTTATTTTTTTTTTTTATTTTTTTGAGTCGGAGTCTCACTCTGTCGCCCAGACTGGAGGGCACCGCAGCCTCGACCTGGTGGGCCCCGGCGATCCTTCCGCCTCAGCCTTCCAAGTAGCTGGAACTATAGCCGCGCGCTACCACTCCCGGCTAATTTTTGATTTTTTGTAGAGATGAGGTCTCGCCAAGTTGCCCAGGCGGGTCTCGAACCTGTGGGCTTAGGCAATCCACTCACCTCAGCCTCCCAAAGCACGGGATTACAGGCTGAGCCACCGAGCCCAGCTGCCTTTGTCTTTCAAACACTCACACCCTCTTCCAACTCTGCTTTTCCACATGATATATTGTGGACATCATCCCTGGTAGTCTAGAAGGATCTGCCGTCGTCTTTTTGTTTTTGTTTTTTTTTTGAGTTGGAGTCTCACTCTGTCGCCCAGACTGGAGTGTAATGGCCGCTCCCGGCCACTGCAGCCTCGACCTGCTGGGCTCCGGCGATCCTTCCGCCTCAGCCTTCCAAGGAGCTGAAACTACAGGCGCACGCTACCACACCTGGCTAATTTTTTATTTATTGTAGAGATAAGCTCTCGCCAAGTTGCCCAGGTGGGTCACGAATGCCCTTGTCTTTTTACCCACTGTCGTATTCCAGCATATACATGGACCCATGTGGTAATTCATTAACCACTTTCTTGTTGAGGGGCACTTGGGTTGTTTCCTGTCTCTGCCCCATCTCAAATAATGCTGCCTTGATTGTCTTAGCACGTAAGCAAGCACACCCACGGGGCAAAGCCTTGCAGAGCCTTGCTGGGTTCAAGGGTGTGTGTGATTACAGAGTGAAGGCCGAGCATCGTGGCTCACATCTGTAATCCCAGTGCTTTGAGAGGCTGAGGCAGGAGGATCACTTGGGTCCGTGAGTTCAAGATCAGCCTGGGCAACACATTAGACCCTGTCTCTACAAAAGAAATGTTTTAAGATGAGATGGGCAGCCAGGCTCAGTGGCTCAGCCTGTAATCCTGCACCTTTGGGAGGCTGAGGTGAGTGGATTGCCTGAGCCCGCGGGTTCGAGACCCGCCTGGGCAGCGAGACCTCATCTCTACAATAAATCAAAAAATCAGCCGGGCGTGATAGCACACGCCTGTAATTCCGGCTACTCGGGAGGCTGAGGCGGAAGGATCGCCGGAGCCCAGCAGGCGAGGCTGTAGTGGCTGGGAGCGGCCACTGCACTCCAGTCTGGGAGACAGAGTGAGACTCCAACTCAAAACCAAAAACAAAAACAAACAAACACAAAAAAGATGAGATGGGCATAGTGGCATGTGTCTGTAGTCCCTGCTACTTGGGAGGCTGGGGCAGGAGGATCACTTGAGCCCCGGAATTCAAGGCTGCAGTGAGTTGGGCCTTAGAGCACGACCCCCAATCTCTTGAAAAAAAAAGATCACTATTTCCACACCACCCTCGGAGGACAGTGTGGCAATCGAAGCCACTTTAAAGACCGACCCGGTGGCAGCCCCAGCTCAGATCTGCCCGGTCACATTTTCTAGGGTGGGGCACAGGCACCACCACGTTGATTCCAAGGTGCCCCCTTGTGCAGACACTGGTTTTGAAGCCCAAAAGTGGGTGGGATTGAGCTTCGCGAAAGCAGAAGTGGTCAGAGCCTGAGGCCCCTGGAGGAAATGCCGACCCCCTGCGAGCTGCCGCACAGGTGCCGGCCGCCTCTGCAGCCTCCTTTGCAAAACCAGGGTGCCGTGCGGCTCCAGCACGCCGGCTCGGGGACACCCGCCAGGGCGCATCCCCCGATCGTTTTGCAATGAAGGCAGGAAGTGACTTTGAGCAAGGGCCCCACCGAGCCCCGTCATCCCCCCCCCCCCGGGGAGGGGCCTCGCGTCCACCCCGCCCTGCAGAGTCTGGCCCAAGAGTCAGGGCGGGAAAGAACGGGGAGGCGCCTTGCAGTCGGAGGCAGCCCGGGTCCCGTAGCGCCCCTTCCCCATCCTGCCCCTCCTGGAGCCCTGCTCTCCTGACGTCGGGGCTAACTCTCCAGGCCTCCCGCTTCCCGTGCGGATGGGGGGCATCACCACCCACGCCCTACCTTCTGGTTTTGGTATATTTAAAACCCGGGCGGGGCTGGCACTCCAGGGGACATCCGACAGGCCCAGGATGTAGCAGGGAGGTGCAGGCCCTCCTGTCTGTTCACTGGGCCTGTCCTTTCAAACTCGGGGCTCGACTTCTTGCTTCGCTCTTGTCACAGGCCTATGGATCAGGAGACAGTGTATATAACGCCTAAATAAAAAGACATGTGTTCATTCCGCATCTTCTGCCTGCTTACAAAAAGGGAAAAAAGATGTGTTCAGCTGTGGTCTGCACACCCACAGTTTCTACTGGTGGAATTTGTGACTTAAAAAAAAAAAGCATGGAGGCCGTTGATCTTGAAGGATGGGGTGACCCTTTACCAGGACGCATGGGCATTCACGCGGTGACAGGGATGTCACCCTTGCCACTCCCAGGGGGCTTTTCGCGTGGGATAGTCCCCTCCAAATCCATCTGCGTGTGCCTGGGCTCTGCACAGCATGCTGGCCTGGCGTCTCCCCACATTCGTCCCCAGCCCCCGCGAAGCACATGGCATGACTTAGTCCCAGTGCGAGGATGGGTGCCAGGAGTTGGGTCTCAGCCCTGCCCCTCACTCTCACCCGGGGCTTTGGACAATACCCTGGCCACTTCTATAAAGTCAGGGGAGGTCAGACTCCCTGCTGAGGTTGAGACCCAAGTGGGTTTGCCCTCGATGGCGCCTGCATGTGTGGAGTGGGGAGCAGATGTCAATTGTCTCCTGCCGACTGCATGGCCATTTCCTTGTTTCTGCACCAGCTCCTCATATTTTTATTTTTATTTTTTTGAGTCAGGATCTCACTCTCTGGAGTGCTGTGGCATGATCACAGCTCATGTAGCCTTGACCTGCTGGGCTCAGGCGATCTTCCTCCTCAGCATCCCAAGTAGCTGGCACCACCATGCCCGGCTAATTTTTTGATTTTTTTGTAGAGGCAGGATCTTGCTGTGTTGCCCCAGCTGGTCTCAAACTTTTGGGCTCACATGATCTTCCTATGCCGGCTTCCTAGAGTGCTGGAATGACAGGCATGAGCCACCACGCCCAGCCTCTTCCTCGTGTGTCTGTGTCATTGTCACTTCACCTTTTTTCCCAGCTGTGCAACACTGTCTGGTCGGTATCCTTGCGTTGTGGAACCATTCCCTTGCATAAGGGAGATCTTATCTCTGCACGAGGTCTGTGTGCGATTCGGCTCCTGTTTTTGAGGTGGTGGATTCCAGCTAGCTTTTGAGAAAAGACCCCAGTTACAGGGGTCTTTTCACTACAGTATTACTGTTATGATTATGTAATTATAATATCATATTGAGATTACTAGTCTTAATCTCCTGTAATCAATGTGTTGTATACTAGTTGATGTGTTAACGTAGTTATACATGAACAAGTATGCTTACAGTGTATATACTATATACTGTATAGTAAGTAGACTTACTATACAGATGCAGTGCAGAAAGTTAAACCTCACCCAGCCAGCACTTGTTGGCGACTGGGGCTTGGGAGCTGCGGGGCAGCCGCTTTCCTGTGGCCTGAGCCCGTCGCTGGAAAAACACACGGCTGGTGGTTCACGCCTGTAGCACTTTGGGAGGCCGAGGTGGGAGCACAGGAGTTCAGGAGTTCAGCCCAGCCTGGGCAACGTAGCGAAACCCCGTTTCTATTCCAAAAACTTAAAAAAGAAAGAAAGCCTCAGGACAGGAGCCAGGGGCAGCGGGATGTCACGAGGCAGGAGCGGCCCAAGCAGCTCACCGACCTCGCGAGGCGCCACGCGGTCTTCCTTGGGGTCTGATCACTGTGCTGAAGAATGCACTCCCTTGTTCCAGAATAATGAAAGGCAGGCGTGTCCATCAATACGGGAGTGATTACAAGTGCTATCAGGCTGCTTTGCAGTGGTAGATGAAGTCTGCAAGTATGCACTGGATGAGAAAGTCCCTGAGTACGAAGTGTAGGGGGTGAGGTTTGTAGAAAACAGAAATAACACGAGCCCGTTTGTGTGTGTTTTTAAACTCTTGTCTCCAAATGCATAGAAAGATTTGGAAGAATATAAGTCACGCTTCAGGGAGGAACTGCTGGTGGGTTAGAGAATTATTTATTTATATTTGAATTTGTTATAAGAAAAATATAGCCGGGGGCCGGACGTGTTGGCTCAAGCCTATAATTCCAGCACTTTGGGGGGCTGAAGTGAGCAAATTGCCTGAGCCCACGGGTTCGAGAGCAGCCTGGGCAACTTGACGAGACCTCGTCTCTACAATAAATTTAAAAAATATTAGCCAGGCATGGTAGTGTGTGCCTATATTTCTGGCTACTTGGAAGGCTGAGGTGGAAGGATTGCCTGAGCCCAGCAGGTCGAGGCTGGGGTGGCTGTGAGCGTGCTCTTGCACTCCAGCCTGGGCGACAGGGTGAGACTCCAACTTGGAAAAAAAGAAAAAAATTTGTGGCTGGGCATGGTGGCTCATGCCTTCATCCCAGCACTTTGGGAAGCCGAGGCAGAAGGATTGCTTCAGCCAGGAGTTAGAGACCAGCCTGAACAACATAGCGAGACTTCATCTCTTTAAAAATAAGATCAAGACAACAAAAATGTGTTTGTGTACAAGCAGCTTAACAAAAATACAGTTTCAAGTAAATCTAAAAGGCACACCCCACACACACAAAGCAGAAGTGTAGGCCGCGGACAGTGAGATCTGGGGTCGCTGGCACCTAGCTGTGTCTCTCCTGGGCCACATCCTGCCTCTGACTCAGGCGGACGACTGAACCTGCCAGACCTCAGCCTTCGTCACTGTCGGCGGGGTTCTCGGCTGGGGCGCGCCTGCTCCTAGATGCAGGCACTGTCTGGAGACGTGGTTGGCTGTCACACCCGCTGGGCGCTACCAGTGGCCAGGGCCGCTGCTCAGCACCCTCATCACCCAGGGCAGCCCCGCCCGGGGCGGAAAAGCCCTGCCGTGAGAACGCCACTCTGCCTTACGGAGGGGCTCTGCGTCCCCAGTCCTGGGCTCTGGCGGAGCCACCCTGCGGTGGCCGCTGGCGAAGGCTCTTCCTGACTCCTTACTCGTCGGGCATTCCTGGCAGCTCTGAGAAAATTAACCTCGACGGGCGCATGGCTCGTGCCTGTCATCCCAGCACTTTGGGAAGCACGGGCGAGAGAATTGCCTGAACCCGCGGGGTTCGAGGCCCGCCTGGGCAACTTGGTGAGACCTTGTCTCTGCAGTAAATTAAAAAATTAGCTGAAGCCGGGCTCGGTGGCTCGGCCTGTCATCCCGTGCCTTGGGAGGCTGAGGTGAGGGGATGGCCTGAGCCCGCGGGTTCGAGACCCGCCTGGGTAGCGAGACCTCATCTCTGCAGTCAATCAAAAAATCAGTCGGGCGTGGTAGCGCGCACCTGTAATTCCGGCTACTCGGAAGGCTGAGGCGGAAGGATCGCCGGAGCCCAGCGGGTCGAGGCTGCGGTGGCCGGGAGGAA